GCAGGTCCCCCGCTGGCAGCCTGTCTCTCTTATCAAGCTGGGGAACGTGTGCCCTCTGTGGGCACAGCCTCTTGGGCTGTGGAGCAGGCAGGAGCTGTGGGTGCCACCCCATCCCTTCTTTTGGGGTCCACCATAAAAGACCACCAAGCTGTAGTGCCCCTTTGGCAAGTGGCCCCAAGGATGCAGGGCAGGCTACCAGGGACTACACCAGGGAATGCCACAAAGGTGATGGCCATGATACTGCACTCCACCTGGTGGCACGTACAGGTGCAGGCAGCTTGTCCAGAGAGAGAAGGGTAAGGTCAGTAAGTAAAACAGGGAGAGGGAAGTGGTGGCCTCAGCAGCAGGTACCTACACTGTCGCACTCAGGGTCTCCAAGATCTCCTCCTGCAGCCTGGGGTCCTTGCGGTAGCTCTCCACCAGCAGGAGGGCATGCTCGTAGCTGGCACAGTAGATCTTGTAGACAGTCTCCATTTCCTCCTTGAACTCCTGGAACAGGGCACCTGGGGAAGGAGAGCGAGGCTGGAAAGGATGGTTCTTTCCTATGGCCTCAGAGAAAGGCGGAGGTTTCTCCCCAGCCTGCTGGAACGGTGAAGCCGTCAGAGTCGTGCCAGCCAAATGTGCCGAGGCAGTGCTCTGCACCCCGCGCACCTCCGCTAAGTTGGGCCTGATGCTGCCGCCCCCTCAGTTTCTGCAGGCTGGACAGATCTGTGTTGCCCCTGCAGGATGAGCGTGGGTGGCTGCCTGCGGACGGCAGTGTGCAGGCAGCAGCGCTTCCCGGCGCCGAGGGCGGTGAGGAGGGACCTGACAGGGCGGGTGGGCTGCGGGCTGCACCCGGGCGCAGCGCTGCGCAGTGGCACTGCCAGCACCAGCAAAGGCATGGGTGGGCATGGGTCAGCTCTTGGTGCTGTACCACTTACTGATGCAGAGCAGCTGCTCGTGCTCCTGGGTAGCCGTGGCCTCGAGACCCTTCAGGAACTGTCTGGAGATGTGAAGGATGTCATCGGTGTTAGAGAAGAGTCCTTCCAGGTCAAGATCAGGCAGCTGAAGGGAACAAAGATGCCCCAGGGTAAGCTAAATACATCAGACAGAGGTGGACCGTGTGCTCTGGAGGCACTCATGCCCTCCTGAGCACTTGTGTCCTTCCAGATGCCCCATGCGATGCTCGAGGAGCTGGAGCAATGCTCTGTTTCAGGAGGCATTGGGGATGCTGGGACCTGGCTGTCTCAGCGGGGCAATGAGGCCTTTTCATGTTACAGACGCAGGTTTAAAGCCACAGGATGGCTGTATTGGCTCAGACACAATGTCCGTCCAACCCAAGACCTTGGCTGATCGGGGGGAGCCCGGGAAGGTGAGTACGTGGTGACCTCCCTGCAGTGACGGGGGCATCTCGCAGCTCTCGACAGATTCACCCTACCCGGCCGCTGGGTGGGGGGATGTACCCCCTCTCACCTGCTTCTTCTGGAGGTGTGCCCGGATGTCCGACACGCAGAGCTGGATGTTGTGGACGTAGCTGGCCTCAGTGGTGATGAGCTCCTCCACGGCCAGCCGCTGGCTCAGCTCCATCCTGTTGCAGGGCATTACCTCCTCGTAGATGGCCTCTTCGGTCTCGGCTGCATCCTCAGCATCGGGCTCTGCCCCGTGGGCGCTTGCCATCTCGGCGTGAGGCTCTGCAGGGGGTGGCAGAGGGTTAGGGACAGGCTGTGGCAAGGGTAGCCCCGGGACCGGTGCTGCGGTGCCCAACCCAGCTCAGTGCCCATGCTCCCTCCCCTGTGCTGGGGGCACCCCGCAGCACATCCCCGGGGACACTCAAGCCATCTGCACTTACAAGCAAGGCGTGGGTGACACTCCAAAACCATGAAACCATAAAGCGCTGCAAGCCCGGAGCGGGCTGGCAGCGGAGGGCAGACACCCACGTGTGGCAGGCAGGAGCTTGCCGCGCACACGTGCCCAAACGCCAGCGACCACGTGCAGGGCCAGGGTGCAGGCAAGGGGAGCCCCGGGTGCAGGCAAGGGGAGCCCCAGCTGCAGGCAGGGACCCGGCAGCACTCGCCTAGCACTGGGACTGCACGGGGGCTGGTCGCCAAGGGCAGAGCAGGGTTTGCCACCTCCGCTCCGCGCTGCCAGGGCTAGCTGTTCCCTCCCTGCCTTGGCTGTTGGCGCCTGGCGCGCGTCTCGAGTTCAAGAGTCCTATTCAAAGTACAAAGAGTGTTTTTGCAGTGCTTGAACAAGAGACGTTTCTGTGGCAGTCAGAGCTGGTTTAAGTGACAGAGATGGGGAGCAAAGTGGGCGAAGCTGCAGGCGCCTCTGTCGGAGGCACTCGCAGCCCCTGGTATGCAATGCCCGTGCCCTGCCCAGCACAGCCTGCTCCCCTCTCCTCTCTGCCTGTGGAGAGCGTGAAAAATTGGAGCTGATTCATGCCGTTTCCTTCTCAGGGAACATCCTCTGCTCTATCTGATGCCAAGGAGGATGGACCAGCTCCCGAAGCATCACAGATAGCGCTTGGTCCCAGGCAGGAGGCCTTGAGAGAGAGACACGGCACAGCCCACGCCAGCCCAGTGCACGGCTCGGCCGGATCCAGGCCCCAGCCGGGGGGGGGATGCTGCCAGGCAGCCTGTCTGCGGAGGCTGCGGAGGAGGTGGCTTGGCAGGATAAAAGCAAGGCAGCACAAGCAGCAGCACAGGGAGGGTGGCTCTGCATCTGCCCTCCGCCGCCTGCCCGGCCGGTGCCAACCTCTGCGCACGACCATCAGCCAGACCGCGCCAGGCCAGGCGCCTGCAGCGCTGGCACCTGCGGTGGGAGCAGGGAGAGGGGCTGGCAGGACAGCCCGAGCCTCCACTGGGGAAAGGTCCAGCTAATAAGTGGGTGATGCAGTTGCGAGCACTGGGCAGAGTGAACGTCCCCTCCTGGCACATGCCCACAGCTGCGCTGGAGGAGAGCGGGGCTTGGCACAGCAAGCAAATGCCGGTGAGAAGGTATGGGACCTCCGCCTGCCTTACAGGGACATGCTGTCCTGCCAACTGTCATCCCTGCCCTCTGCGCGTTTGGCTGCTGACCCTGCCTGTGGTGCTGGCTGCTACGGGACACGGGGAGTGGGAGGCACTTTCCTGAGCCCCCTTGGGTGCTTCTGAGGTGTCCAGGCAGGAGGATGCCCATCAAGGACTGTTGGACAAGCCCAGCCTCTCCTGCCTGGGGGTGACAGCAAAGCCCTTGCTCAGAGGAAGGGCTGCAGTGGAGGCAGGTGGAAAGCCGTGATCTGAGACAGCCCCTGAGCTCTGGAGAGATGCTCTGCAGCTCAGGGGCATGCGGGCACCGGGGTTGCACTGGTCCCTGCTGTCCCTGCGCCAGCATCCCCCAGAGCACGCAGCTGCTTTGCAGGGCTGTCCCCAGGCTGGGGAAACCTCTTTCCCCCCCTCATCCCCCTGGCCCGAAACATCAGAGGAACGAGGGAATTGTGCAAAACTAAAAAGCAGCGTTTCTGGGCAGCGTTGGACCAGGCGGAGAGAGCCGGAGCGGGTTTCGTTCCCCAGCTCTCCTCCCGGGAAGCTGCCTGCCTTCGGCATGGCGCTGCCGCCTCGGCGGCCCCGAGCATCCCTGTCCGCAGAGCAGGGACCGGGCAGCGTCCCCAGCCGGCCCGCGGGGACCCGCACGGCGGGGGGTGCCGGCTGCAGGCCCCCAGCTGCCCCCTGCGC